TTATTACTAATAGATGGGTTCATTACTGACATTGATGTCTACTCAATAGAGCCCACCCTGATATTTGGCAATATTCATTGGATTTGACTGGGCGATTTTTGAAGCGAATCTTCTTTATTGGCGTTGTATTACTTTTTCTCTATATACTAATGCGAGCATCCGGGAAATAGTAGTTTGCAGTAACAGTAAACAGTTTGAAGAGTTCATTTACGTGACGACATTTATACAACATGTCAACTTTTTCAATTTTATTAAAATCTATAAAAAAAATAATAAATAAATAATAAAATTTCTTATTCAATTTTAAAAATATTTAAATTTTAAAAATACAAAAAATATTGTATGAAGCTTCGCACTAATCTACAATACTGCCTACTGTGACACTTTTTTTATTCCAAAAGGGACATATTTTAACGATATAGATATCTGTCATTTGTCAATCCCCTCCCTTCCAGTACCACAAACCATTAATTTTAAATAGGGAATAGCCCATGAAAAAACTAAAACTTCATCTAAAGAAGTTTGTAAAATGTTTGGTTATTTGAACTGTTGTTGGTAGCGTTTAAATAACTATTTTTTTACATCTACTACTTTATGTTTACTACTATTTTATGTTAACAAACTTGATGTTTTCTGTGCCAAAAAGTTTTTTTGACAGTTCCATATAACATTCTAAACAAAAATCATAGATATCATTTTTACTTCATGAGGACCAACTGCACGTTGCTAGGCAACCAATCAACATTGTTTTTTTAGTTAACTGATTACCTGCATATTAAGTTTGTCCTCAAACATCAGATATAAAACTTTATTTTGTAAAATATTTTTAAAAACGGAAGATATGGGAATTACCTTTTTTATACTTCCGTTGTTTGTGATCTCTATATCTACCGACGTTAAATCTTTGAAACATAAATTCATCAACGGCAGTATTTTAATATGTGGTTTGACTATTGTATAGGTCCTTAAGGTTTGGCAGATCGGCTCTCCACTAATTCTCGATTGACATTTTATTTGGCCCTGGTAGACCCAAGGCTCTTGTGTCAAAGCTACACCGAACCTTCTCAGCAACACTCCTGCAGAAGCTGTCTTACTTTGCTGGAGGTTCGTCTGCAGGACTATGATTGAAGCCATCGAGACTTCTGATGGTTAAGATACTTTTTTTAAGGATCTTTTCTTTATGTATATTATTAAGAATGAATACACTTAAGTTTACTCCCTCCTACAGGCCCTCCATAACCCTCGCCATATCAACGGTAAATTTGTTTACATCCACAGTTGACCCACAGGGTCTCTGCTCTAAACGTTGCTTTATGGAACTGTAAAAGTTCATTCAGACTTCCGATAGGCGCCTCATCCACTACTTTTTCCAGTTTATTGATGATCAGGTCTACTTGAGCCTGATCTAGTAGTAGAGTATCAGGATAGTGTCTGGTATTACCGTCATATTGAATGCTCTTATGACATTTCTATATTAGCTAGTCTGTTCATCAGAATTCCTAGGCTTTTTTAGCGATTATTTGACCAAATGGTGGTTGGTCTGGAGGTTTTTGGGAACTGGTTGAGTTTTTGAATGCCTTTTATGGACGCCAATTTTATGTCTCCAGTTTATTTTCGAAACATTGACGGTTGGGAATAAGTTCGCCTCAGATCCCGCGAAAAACTTTAAGAGATTACAAGTTAGATTTGAAGACTCGTTGGGCGTTAGCGATTATTTGACCAAATAGTGGTTGGTCTGGAGGTTTTTGGGAACTGGTTGAGTTTTTGAATGCCTTTTATGGACGCCAATGTATCTCCTTGCCTTATCCCACGTTTTTTTTATTGGTCGGATTTTATCGTGTATATTAACAGTCATAGTGGCATTTTTGTAAATATTGTGAATGAGTTCACTATAAATATTGGTCGATCCTGAGGTCATTTATTGCTTCTATAAGGCTGTCTATTTCGATCGTGTCGAACGCTTCATGAAAATCTATGAAAGTGAGGACAAAAGGTTTGTTGTATTCTATAGATTTTTCAATGATTGTCTTTACTGTATGGAGGTGATCATTGGTATCATAATTTGAACGGAATCCTGTCTGTTCTCTCGGTTGGTAGAAATCTAATTTTTTCTCCAATTTTTGATGTCACTAGCCTAGGGAAGAGCTTATATATGTGGTTCAACAGGCTAATAGGTCTAAAATTTTGTAGGTACTTTCTATTTCCTTTTTATGTAGAAGGATGGTTATAGCATTCTTCCATTCTTTGGGCACCTCTCTTTGATGCAAACAAATTCAACTGTGTCCTTAATTTACTTAATAGCATATCTCCTCCATTTACGATAGCTTCTATTACGAGTACAATTCCATCCTCTCCTGGGGCTTTGTTATTTTTCTTAATGCTTGTCGAATCTCATCTACCTTTATCTCTGGCATTAGTTCGGAACCTTGATTCATGATCTTCTTTAAAATGGCTGTTTGTATTCCTGTTTGATCTTCTCGTCTACTTCCATATAATTCAGGGTTGTCCAACTGGCAGCCCGCGGGCCGCATCCGGCCCGCGAGGCTATTTGTTGTGGCCCACGTAAGATTTTCGAAAAGCATATATTTTCTTTAAATACTGCCACTGTGAAAAAAGATTTTTTAATTTATTTTATGGTTTAGCAGTGTTTTTACATCATAAGTACTGTACCGCATGCCGCTTTGCGGACGTGTAACTAACACAATTGTCCTCCACCACTATGAGAACTGCACTGATTACTGCGCATCACAGTTCATGCAGGCCATACCTCCCACTGCTTACCATCCGTCGCCAGCCGGCATCGTGCCAGTGTGCTACTTACACGTAGGCTAGTCGGCTAATCTATTACGTTGCTAGTGAACAGTGAACTTGATTAATTCTTTGTCTTGATTCCTCTTATACAATAATGAGTGTAAAACCAGTAAAACGGAAAATTGATAGTAAGAACAGAATTTACAAAGAAAGTTGGAAGAGTGATTACTTGATTGCTAACAATAATGGAAAGGTGCAGTGCTTAGTGTGCATGAATGTCGTTTTAGTGCCTAAAGAATATAATGTGAGAAGACATTACACAACAGTGCATGAAAATAAATATGCTACGTACACAAATGATCGGCGTGCCCTAGTTGCTGATTTGAAGAAAAAGCTTAAACAGCAAACTGGTATGTTCAGTAAAATATTACACTCTCAAACGCATTCTTTCCATGCATCTTATGCCGTGTCGCTTGAGATGGCAAAGGCAAAAAAACCTTTCACTGATGGAAATTTGATAAAAAAAATGTGCTATTGAAATGGCCAAAGCTTTCGGTGATTCTAAAATGGCGGAGAAATTTGAATCAGTGCCACTTTCACATCAAACCATACAAAGAAGGATTGTTGCTATGGGTGAGCAAGTAGAAAAATCTATGCTTAGCCTGGTTAAGAAAAGTTCATATTTCTCACTTTGTTTGGATGAAAGCACTGATCAAACCAATGTTAGTCAGCTGTTAATATTTGTGCGCACTACTTTTGATGATTTTACCAGGAAAGATGAGTTATTCGATATTTGTCCTCTTTATGGAACAACAAAAGGAAAACACATCTATGAGGCTGTGAAGAGAACAGTTGACAGAATTGGAGGCTTTGATAAATGTTCAGCCATAGCAACAGACGGGGCCCCATCAATGACAGGTAAAAAAATTGGATTAGTGGGTCTGCTTCGAGAGAATGGTGTCACTTGCCCAACAATTCATTGTATTATACATCAGGGAGCTTTATGTGGAAAATCAGTCAAGGAAGATCAAGTTTTCCAAACCGTGATTAAGATTATAAATATGATTAGAGGTGGAAATCGATCTCTTTTACACAGGCAACTTAAGCAGTTTTTAGTGGAAACAGAGGCTGAGTATGGAGATTTGCTAATGTACAACCATGTAAGGTGGCTGGGTGCAGGAAAGTGCATGGAACGATTTTTTGATAATACTCTTTTTTGATTTAATTATTTTTATACCTCACTTTATTTTGTTATTACTCGTAACAAAATGATTATATGGCCCACGACAACATCAAAGGTTTTAGTGTTGGCCCTTGAGGAACTGCAAGTTGGACACCCCTGATATAATTCCTCGTAAAACTCTTCGGCGATCTGTATTAACTCGGCTCTACGTGATATTATCTACGTAAAATATTATTATTATATACATTATTATTATTTTTTGTCAATTCGTTATTGTTAAACTTATTACCTTCAATTTCAATGAAAAAATATTATTTAGGAATATTTTTATTTTTCGCAAAAAGTGTGGTTGGAGAAAAAGTGGTTGTATAAAACGTGCGGGAAGATAATTTTTCAAACTCGTGAGAAATTAGTACTTTTCTGTAGTTGTTCCACAATATCCAAGTACTATTTTAAATTCGTTCGAAATGGTGTGTTCTATCGCAGGACGTGTTGAAATTATTTCCATATTTTTTTGAAAATGGAAAGTGTGCAAGGAGAACAGGGAAATTATTTAATCAACTTCATCAAGATAAGCAGCTTCATCAATCATACGTTTTAAAAGTAGTTCAAAGATCTATATCGTTAAAAAATGACCCCTTTATAATAAAATTCGGCCTGTGTTAGTATTTTCACTAATGGCCAGAAGATAAAGGGAAGTTGTAAGGAATCTACGCGACTGACGGCTTTTCTGCGAGGAGGTCAAGATCCATAAAATATTGTCGAGCCAATGATGATAATGACTCTTTTGAGTGATCAACCCTGTATTTTGGTTAATATGTATAATACGGCTTTTGATTCTGAAATTTCTTAAATAAATTTTGAATGTTGGGGTCAATTTTTCTTATATCTAATTAAATTAAATTTTTCAATTGAGTATTGGTTCATTTTGGTATTTCCAAAATTTAATATAAACTGTTTGTGCTTAAAACAAGTAGGGTTTTAAATATTTTTCTTAGTTCGCATATTTCTTAATTTTTTTACTAGATGTAAAAATATAATTAGAAATGAAAAATTGGTTTTTCAGTGCTCCCAAAACATCTTAAGTGTACAAACGCCAGAAGACAACAAAACCTTAGAAAACTACCAGAGCAGCGTGAACGTCCTTCAGCTATCCACGAAACCCGAACCAGTTCAACCTGCATTAGAGCCTACTGTTCCACAAGTCACCAACTCCGTGACTAATTTCACGACGGAAACAATCAACCACACCGCAAAAGAGCCTCAGAAGACTCAGAATTCCAGTAACAACACCGGAAAATTCGGAAGACCCATTTTGGGAGCAGGAGCACGTCTTAACAAAGGTAAATTTAACGATTCCTCAAATTGGAGAGACAAGGATAATTCTTCGAGCGGAGGATGGGGTAATAAAAAGTCTGGGTGGGGAAACAATGATAAAAACTCCAAGGGTAAAAGTAAAGTATGGGAACATGACGATAGGTTTGAAAATAACTATAGTTAAGGTGTATATGGTTTAGTTTTGTAAGATTTGTGGTGATGGCATTGTGAAGCACTAACTAGTTTATTTATTTTTAGAAGAAATTAATTAAATCTTAATTAGTTAGAATAGTTAGCAAATTGTGAAATGGAAATTTTTTAATGCGTATTTATTACTCAACTAATCAACGAAAGCTATTTCATACCTACTAGTGTTATTGAAATAGCGTTTTCATTGTCGTTTTAAATAAATACAATAGAAAAAGTTTGTAGTACTTAGAGTGGAGCTCTTGAAGTTTAACTTCTTTTCATTATCGTTTAGTTATTTCAAGAAATTATTTTCTGTTCTTGTAGTCTAACGCTTTTTCGTACTCTTTATAACGTTTCTGATAAAAATGTAAATTCTTTACAAATTTACAATTTTTCACATCACAATTCTTTTTACTCTTTTGACGATTTCTTTTTTTTATCTTTTTTTTTATTGGGACAGAAATGTTATTGCTTTATAAAATGCTATATAAACATCATATATTAAGTTTTACAAAAGTTTATGGATCGAAATAAAATACTCTCATTACATAGAGACTTAATACTGTTACGTACGATAAACCTGGAATGGGCAAAGGGGGGCCCTAGAAGCTGGGCGCTAACTTGGCGCCTCAGGCTAATAGATATTAAAGGATTCGTTGAAACAAAATAAAACCTATTACAAATAGGTTTAACTTTTTTTTAAATCGATATATAGGCAAAGCAAAAGAAACCGTTACACTTGGTCTTTTCGTAAACTTTAGTAAATTAGAATTATTTATTTAATGTCCAAGAGAAAAGAAGGTTGTTAGAGAAATAAAAAAATACAAAGTGTTACCTACTAGCTGTGTTTATTACTGAAACTTACTGATATTTTACTGAAGCAAAAATGTCAATATAAAAGGTTTATACTTTTAAAACATATCTTTATAATAATAATCTCCCTTTTTACCGCTAATGTAGCTTTGGGATTATAGCAGGGTAGTCTGCTATCTCTTGGGCCTACGGTATCTAGTGTTCCAAGGTATATAAGAATATATATATATATATATATATATATATATATATATATATATATATATATATTTATTTTACAAACTGGCATAGTAAACTCAATGGGAAATTCTTAATTGTTGAATTCCTGCTTCAATAATTATTTTACATCAAAAGTCATAAGAAACTATTGATAGAGGACTGAAATATGTATTAAAAACAAATATTAACATTGTTCAAAGAATTAAGCGCACTCCAAAATTTTGCAAAATTATAATACATATTTCAGGCCACCCCTTAAAGTCAGGCCACACGCGGTACAAGAATGTGTATGACATGTTGCGTTTGGTCATATTGATGATTCTGATGTTTGACAATATTTGAATTGTCTCAGTTTACGAAAAATCGCAATAATGTATTCAAGCAATAGTGATCAGATCTTTATTTAACGTAGGATATTATAATACACTCCAATTCAATTCCAGGTTATACAACAATTCAAAGAATTTCAATATAGTTTTACTGTGGTCCTTTCTAAAAATAATTTATGATCATTTCTAAACATAAAACTATAACAAATGTTCCAATAATAAGCCATTTTGTACTAAGCAGTATCCCACTCGATTGTAAAATTCTCGTCTAACATTAGCCAGAATGTGTGGCGTTATTTTTGCACACTTTTCAATAATTCACATTTTTAATGCTTCAATATCTGTAAATTTTTGGTCAGAATAGATTTTTGATTTTAAGTGCCACTAGATAAAATAATCGTTTGGAGCTCGATCTCCCGATCTCGGGTTCCACTTAATATTACAGTCATGTCCAATCAAACAATTATTAAAGCTGTTTTTAAGGAATTCCATAACCTCCCAGTTATTCTGCGCGGGCATCCATCTATTTGAAACCAAATTTCTTCTTCATCTGGAGCTATTTCTGCAAGTCTGGGTAAAATCTCTTCTTGTAGCAGGTCTAAAAACTTTTTTAAATTTAAATTTTCCTCATAGAAAAATGGTCCAATAATATTTTGTCTAAATATTCCTAACCAGACATTTATTTTTCGACGATATTGGGTATGGCGTTCAATAATATCCTCAGACTTTCTTGTCGACCAAACCCTATAATTTTGAACATTTGGTTCATTATTTAATGTAAATGTACATTCATCACTATGTGTTTTAAAAATTGTCTGTCCGCATTAGCCCTCTCTAAAATTTCATAACAAAATTTCGCTCGTCGCTCAGCATATCCTTCTCTTAGTTCTTGATAACATTGAATTTTTTATATGAACAGAATTTATTCTTTTTCAAAATTTCAAAGGCCGTGGAATTATATTAAACTTGTCTGCAATGGTCCGAGAACTTATTCTAGAATTTTCTACAACTGCTGTTAATGCATTTATTTCATTTCGATTTTCTAAATTTGTTGGTACCTAAGCAATATTGTTTGTACAGGTACAATTAGAAATCACGGTCCCAGTATTTTCAAAATTTTGTAAAATGCTTTGAATTGTTGAATGACTTGGTATGGGTCTATTGGGATATCTTACGCTAAATAAAGAACTAACAATTCGCGCACTATTGGCTGAATAAAAATTTTTTATTATTGCTACTTTCTCCTCAACTGAATACATTTTTTAATCAACTATATTGTTTTTTAAACAATAAAATACAACATAAAAACTTTGGCAATTCAAATATTGTCAAATATCAGAAACATCATTATGGCCAAACGCAACATGTCATACACATATTATTGCACAGCGTGTGGCCTCACTTTAAGGGTGGCCTGAAAAATGTGTTATATTCTTGCAAAATTTTGAAATACGAGTAATTCGTAGAACAATTTTAACATTTGAATTCGCTACATATTTCAGTGCTCTACAAATAGTTTTTCTTGAGCAGGAATTCAACAATTTAGAATTTCCCATTGATTATCCTATGGCCTGTTTGACGTTTCACCACCCTGTATATGTATATATATATATATATATATATATATATATATATATATATATATATATATATATATATATATATATGTATGGAATGTTCTTGAGGAGAAAATTAGGAAAGAAACAAAAATAGGATACGAAACTATTTATATGATGATTGTGTGTCAGACTGCTGGGTGATTTTGTATTTATTAAAGTTATTTTTATTTATTACAAAGTTATATTTACAAATATTTACTATTTATTTATTTATTAGAAACTATTATTTAGTGACAGCATTGTAAAATGGCTAATAAAGAAGAACTGATCCGGATGTGGCTCGTCGTTTGGTTCAGGTTTATTGTATGAGCAATGAGAGCATGGATCTAAAGTCAATTAAAAAAGAAAATTATTTCGATCCAATGAACTTTTTAATCTCTTTTGGTAATAGTACCAATCTTGAAAAATGAAATTAATTTAACTTTTCAACGAAACTGAATGGGATAATGATTGTATTATTATTATTATATTCTATCATGTATTTGTTATGAATTATTTTTTCGTACCTATTTATTATTATGTACTATTGGAGAGACCTTATCCAAGGCGATGTGGCCAACACATCGAGCAATAAGACAAAAGAGGGAATCTAATCCTTATGAAAAGGAGACCAAAAAAGTGGCCTCTGATGGCGGACATATCCGGAAATGCGAATGCGCCAAATTTAAATTTTCCGACACTTATCATCAGTAGCTATATAATATTTTTCAGAATGTGTCTTAGACGAGAAAGTTTTAATTAATTATTAACGATAATAGTCTAAAATGCGACACCATTGTTAAAAAACTTCAATATAAATAAGATTTCATGTGACATTTGGGACAAACAATAACATAACCCAACTAAATTTGATGTCAAACAAGGAGAGAGACTCTCTTTCCTTGTTTAATGTGGCCTCTAAAGATCGCACTTCCTGTCTAACAATATGTTTGCCCCCATTACCTTTACATTCCCTCTTTTGTCTTTTTGCTTGAAGGGCCAACATGAGTATGTGCTTCCTGACGCCTCGTTACTATTCGTTTCTATTTATTTTATTTCGGTGTCTGCATGTATTTTTATATTTTATACTTTTTAATTTTATTTTTGAATTTGTACAGAGAAATAATAGTGCACTAAAATACAACACTACACGAATTTTGTACTTTTAATTTTTTAATAACAAAAAACAAATCAACTGTTTCGTTGGTGTTTGGGCTACCCCAAGTCAGATGGTGCGCATTTGAACACAGCCGATGATCAATTGCGGTATATTTATACTACAATTTTTCACCAGCTTTTTCTGTTTCATCTCCTTTGAAACTAACTTTTTATCTCCTTTGGTGATGGTTGTTCGGGGTCACCATACGGAAGGTATGCTGATCCGGGAATTATCTTTTTTATACTTCCATCTTTTGTGATCTCTATATTTACCGTCGTTAAATCTTTGAAACATAAATTCATCAACGGCAGTATTTTAATATGTGGTTTGACTATTATACAGGTCCTTAAGGTTTGGCAGATCGGCTCTTCACTAATTCTCGATTGACATTTTATTTGGCCTAGGTAGACCCAAGGCTCTTGTGTCAAAGCTACACCGAACCTTCTCAGCAACACTCTTGCAGAAGCTGTCTTACTTTGCTGGAGGTTCGTCTGCAGGAATATGATTGAAGCCATCTAGACTTCTGATGGTTTTAAAAGATACTTTTTTAAGGATCTTTCCTTTATGTATATTATTAAGATTGAGTACACTTAAGTTTACTCCCTCCTACAGGTCCTCCATAGCCCTCGCCATATCAACGGTAAATTTTTTTACATCCACATTTGACCCACAGGGTCTCTGCTCTAAACGTTGCTTTATGGAACTGTAAAAGTTCATTCTCGTTCTCGTCGAACGACAACGAGAACGGGGAATTCCTAATTAATTTTGCCAGCAGGAAAAACATGATCGTGAGCTCTACGTTCTTTGCTCATCGGGATGTACACAAAGCAACGTGGATCATGCCAGGTGGAGCGGTTACTAACCAAATTGACCATGT